TGTTTAATACTTTGTGGGCAGTCTGTCATTAATTTTTTAATGAACTATAACTGATATTTAAGAATTGGACTACTGTTCCTTTGTAAAAACTTTCAGCGTGGTTTATAGTTGTAATGTCCTCTGGTGTAAATAGGACTGTGTGAAATCATAGAAAACCTTTTGCAAAACTGTCACGTTTCCTTCCTGTAGAAGGCATCTCACCTGCTTCCACATGGCATGTACGAAATTTTACTGCAGAGTAACTTTGTCTCAAAATTTATCACTCTGGATTTCGAAGTGCATAAGCCTCTGCATCAGAATAGTACTGTTTAATACATGGGTTTTGAATTCACCATTAACTGGATTCACAAGCTTTGAATTCACACTGCAACAGGAAGGTGTTACCTTTTTTGTTGCAACTAGTTGCATCCTACTTCTGCCTGTGCCTCTGTAGTTTGCTGGAGATTTCCAGAGCAAGTGAATAGGAATCACTAATGTCACAGTTATTTGTATAACATAAATGGTGTAAGGATAGTTACTGAATTGTATCAACACTGTTCTAGTAAACATTTGTAGTAATAGTCATAGAATTTCGAAGTGTTTTGCTCTTAGACTCAGTTGGGATGTTTGTCTTGCTGGAACTTGAGCCCTCTTGGTTTAAAGGCACCACTGATAGTCTTCTGAAATCTATACCTGATAATTCAGTTGATTTATTTGTATTCATGATATTCAACACAGTGAGCTTTAAATTCTTTTTATCTGCCACTGCTGTATATTAAATCATACTTAAGATACTCTGAGGATTTGTTTGTGAGTAATGAGGAATTCTTTGGGAGAATCTCATATACTCTACATTCAGCTCAGAGCAGAATTCAAGTTTAATGAAACAAATACTTCTAGACAAATTTGAAAGGAAACATCTGAGTGGTTACAGATTTCTAATACTATTGACTGTTTTTTTGAGCACAAATGTAAAATATTTACATTTCGACCAACTTTGAATCAGTTTACTTTGGTTGTTCAGTTTTGACTTTGCTGCTTTTACTGGTTTTGGATGAGTGTCAATGCCCAACAAATCCAGCACAAGGCCATTGGTATCACAGATGGTTACCTAAAATGACTGGCCACTTCTGAAAGTGTCAGTCATAATCTTCTTGTTCCACAGACCTATTTTCCATTATGTATAGATACTGCTGCTTAACCTGGCTCACTAAGTTCCAGAGGATACTTAAAGCTATAAAGCAGTGTGGTTCTACGGGTGAAAGACGGTATTGTGTACAATTACATTGTTGAGTTTTGCCTGCTTGTACATATTTGCTGAATTTCACAGTCAAGCTTTGACACTCAGCAACTGTTCTAGAGATACATCTTTGAAGTGTTTGAATGAGTCTTCTCTTCTAACATGACAAATGGAGAATAATTTTTAAATTGCTAGGTAAATGCTAGCCAAGTTAGGTAAAAAGCTAATTCATTGTATCTGCCAAAGGGGTATCTGTTCCTTTATAATGTTTACTGTTTAGATCAACCTTTTACATAATGTCTTATATCTTAATATTTGCCTTCAGACATGTTACTTTTGCAATGTTTTACAACATGAAAAATAAATACATGATAAACATTGTTTATACAATAAACATTTTACAAGGGGAATTCCATGCTTATTTTGATCTTGCATCCTTTTAACCCAGTTCCTTGGATAATGTAGGCTTCGCTTCAACCAAGAAGTTCAGAAAATGAGGACTTGTTTCTAGCTGCTTAGTATGGCTATTTATATTCCTCAGTGATACTTGATTCTGCAGATATCAGCAGTGAAACATTCCAGATATGAGTGTAGTCTGACATGAATGAAATGCTTCCTACACATCTGGTATCAGTTGAGAATTTTGAGCCAAATTAAGCATGTTAGATAAGCCAAGTAGGAATAGTATTCCTTATAGAACTAAAAAAATAACTTGTTTGAAAGAATAGTTTGGAGATCAAAACTCAGGTTTATTTTCTATAATATAAATTTAAAAAATCTTTAATATTTGCATAGGTGTAATCACTGCTGTTTGAGGTATCCTGTTATAAGAAAAACCCTCTTTTGCTGTTTATCTGAAACAATTGCCATGTTTCTGTTCATACAGTATTTCTAACTGCCTCTAGAATATTAATTTTCTGTCTACATTCTTTACCAGTAATATTAACAGATATATCTTTAACAGATGTCAAGAACAGATGGTCTTTAGTCATTCTTTGAGAGTCATTTCCATCTAAATTTGACTTGGTCCTGTTGGTAAAGGTAGAGTAATGGTTTCTAACTCTGTAGTGATTCTTAGGTCCAGTTCTGAATTTTTCTGCAACATTCACTTTTCTCTGGCACAAGCAATCCTGAATACAAAACATCTCCTTCTCTGAACCTCTTGTATATGGATATTGTACTTTACATGTGACTGTGCATATGGAAGTATGTTATAAATGGGAGTATCCATACATGCTGACCTTCAATCCCACAGTGCTGAAGCAATTCATATGTGCTCTGTGCTAGGGATTTTTAGGACAAAAAGAGTTTCAGCCAGTCTTGTGGTGGGACATGACCAGTCTTAATGACACACCACAAAATCTAACACAGAATAGCCTGGAACAGAATTAGGTCAAACCATATTCTTTGGAGGAATCAGGAAGTACATAAAACTGCATTCCTCCCAGCTGGAGGAGACTTGGAAAGGCAAACATTATTATTAAAATTGGTCAGAATTGTGGAATGAGCTTTTCTTCCTTGCTGCAAAATGGGAAAGGACTAAGCAGTTCATATTCTTGAAAAGTACTCTACACAGCTCCTTGCCTACTTAACACCTTACTTTGAAATACTTTAACTGTGATTTGGAGGGAAGAGTCGTCCTTGAATCAGCACCCCTTGAATCAGCACCCCTGCTTTCCCCTGCGCTAAGGTATTTGCTTATTGGGAGTTTCAGAGACACTGTTGTACTGGGATTGTATCATTACCTACAGATTACATTTGTCTCTGTCATGAGATCCATGCTTGCCTTGGAGAGCAGCTTATGGTGCAAATGTGTATATCACTGTAAGATCAATTCTTTTAAAAACAAGTAAAAAATGTAGACCTTATTTGGCCGTGTTATGAGGCAGACACACTTTTATCTGTATTTGTGAGCATTTGTGCAAATAGGCCATTGTCTGCCGCACACGGTTGTGAATTAGGCTTCCTGGCTCTTACTACCTTTCAGTTTGCTCCTTCACATTCTTACATGATCTTTTCATTGTCTTGAACACAGACCTTTCCATACTGACAGGCTTGCTGTTATTTCACATATATATGTATGAAATATCTTCTATGGAAAATTAAAAGAAAAATTGAGAGAGAGTTCTCACTTGGTTCTCAGCATCTTTAATAAACCTCATCAGTTATGGTGCTGAGGGAGCTGTAAACATAGAACTGACATCTTTTTACAAGAATTTGCTTTTGTTAATGGCAATAGATAACATGAACAAAATGCATCTCTTGCAGCCCTCCTCTTTACTCTTGTCTTTGAAAGAATGAGAAGAAAAAGAAGGTACTTAAGCTACACATTTTCCATTGATACTTTAATGGAAATATTCTCATATATATATATATGAATAACGAATCAATAATCATCAACAGTTATCAAACAGTAATCTCCAGTATTTGAGTTCTGTTTTCACTAGGGCTTTTAAGATTGTATGGCCTAATAAATTCATTTTTACATTTTAAAGGAATCACACAGAATTGCCTAGATTAGAAAAGACCTGTCTTATCCTGCAATAACTGTTGATGCATAGTCCCATAGGGATGGGATCTGCAAGGTGCAAGGTGGCACATGTTTCAGCACCAAATAAAAGCAGATTGAACTCAGAATTTGTTAGAAACTACTTTCTTCATCATGCATGCTTTTTATGCAGTCGGTAACTTTTTTTTAACATAGTAGTTATCTGCATAGTAGAGACTACTGGAGTTTTGGACAAAGTATGATTATAAGTAAAATACTCTAGTTTTGTGTAATCATTGTTGAGACTAATTTCTTTCCAATACGTGGGCAAAATGGCTTAGTGTTCCTCTGTCTCTGAATGTAGTAGAGTAAGAAGGCACGTATCCTTAGGACTTCAATGTAATTAAATCCTGCACTTTACTCCCAATTAAGGGTTTTTCCGTTGGCAAAAGGCTCCATTTTCCCTAAATACTCCCTTTTTAAAAAAATACATCTTGATTTACAAATAGTTTAGGTAATTCCTGGTATTTGAAGAAGCTGAATTCCCACTGAAGTTTCCCTGCAGGTTGTTTAAGCTTCTTTTCCATAAAGCAGGAGTAGGGGTGGAAATGGCTGGCAACTGTGTGTCTGGTTTTTAAAAGAAAATTTAAATCTCTAGTAGACATTTGGTGACACATTTTAATCTCTTTGGAGTTGATGAGCCATTCTGTTACGCTCGTTTAACATTTCAGCAGTTTCTACAGTTAGGTGTATAAGGGGAATAATCTACCTCTCTACTGTGTAAATTATATTTTATCACCCTTCTTTCAATTTTTTTTATGTAGGATTATATTTAGGTTCTATTCTCACTATTTTAAGGTAACATAATTCAGAAATTTTTTTTTTTCAAATTAACTTCCACATTAATAAATTTCTAAGTTGACTTCAGAACTGACCTTCTCATTTTCAGGTTGATATTCCCCTTTTGATGGAGTTATGGTCTCAGGACTGAGCTTTTAGAATAAGTTAATGTGAAAAATGGCACAGCACTTTGTAATAGCTAAGGAAATGCAATAAAATATAGACAAATTATTTTCTCCTTAAAAGTTTTTTGTAGCTATTCCACAGAGTGAAAATCAAACATGATGGTGATTGATTGCATGTTGATTAACTCAAACAAGAATTTACAGCAATTAGTTCCGATTTGCTATAGAATCTTGCCTGAGTCATAAATCCTTTAGGATTTGCTGAAGATCCTGAATGACTGAGTGAAGATTTACATTACTTTTTTTTTCTTTTTCCTCCAACAGCAGTTTAATGACGAGTTCTTGTTCGTCTGATGACATCGATCAGGAAGAAATCCAGCTCGCTTTGCAGGCTGCTAAAATTGCCACCCGAGAAAAGATCAGATCCAGATTTCATGGCAGTAATGATCTTATTCACCGCCTCTTTGTCTGCATCTCAGGTATGAGAGTAGCCTTGTGTTCTGAATGTAAGAACTGGTTTTCCTTTGGGTTTTTTTTGGTGCGATAAAGTTATGGTATGAACAGACTAGAGATGAAGCTGCAGGAAGACTGTGTTTTGAGGCCTGAGTTTCTGACTGGTCTAGAAAGACCTGTTACCTGATGGGATCTATCAGAATCAGAGATGCAGACATCTTAGATCTGTAGTGAGGAAGAGTTTGGGCATGCCACAAGTTTGACTTAAAAGTGCTTCCTTTTTCTTGGTGATGCCATGTGTCTTCGAGGGAAGAAATTTGATGCAGCAGTTGTATTTTGATGCAAAAGGAATCTCTCAGTGTTTCCTGCCAAAGGACAAAGAAAATATGTATTAAATTGCAGGCAGCATAAAGGCCACAATGTGGCTTGACCATTATAGAAAATTAGTTTAATTAAATGTTCAGACTTTATTACTAACATGAGCAAGTGTTCCTCTCAAAGATAAATATGAAGCCATTACTGGTAGCAACAGAAAAATATAAATGCTTTATTTTAAGGGTGGTGTAATAGTATAGTAATTGTTTACCCATTTTTTCAAACTCCTAGGTGTTGCTGACCAGCTGCAGACAAACTATGCTAGTGATCTGAGAAGTATCTTAAAGACTTTGTTTGAAGTTATGGCAACCAAACCTGAAACAGAAGACAAGGAAAAGCAAAAGAAAGGTAGAGATTGAGATGTTTGTTCTCTAAAGTGAATTTCTGCTGGTAGCCCCATGGGGATCCATGAACTATTTGACAAGAATTTCCTTAACATTTTGTTAACTTTTTGGCAGTGATGTACTTTGTACAGTGATTTGACTTAAGTTTTTAAAAAAAAAAAAAAAAAAAAAGGAATGGAAACAGACTGTAAACAGGATGAAGTCACTGGAAGCATAGATACGAGAAGTATGTCTTGAGGCAAATGTTGAAGAGTTAAAGCTTTCAGAGTGCATCTGCTCACTTCTATATTCCTGTGTATAACAGAACAGCACTTGTAGCCCATACAGTCGTAACATAATGTATGCAGGGTTTGGACATCATAGATAAAATTTTTTTCCTGATATTATTTCACACTGGACACACTTTAGTTTACCAAGTCTTGTATCTTTGACTGGGAAGTTTAAATAGCTGTGTAAAAAGAGCAGACTATAAGATGAGAATGCTCAGGAAGATGCTGAAATATGACCTGTCTTGTAGAAAGTGCAGAATGCCAAATTTTGCTTCAAAATAGAAAAATATCCACTTCTAGATAATTAAGATAATTAGGTAATGTTCTAGATAATTAAGATAACGTAACCAGAACCAGATCATGAGCCAATGCAAGAAGTTGGTTTTTTTGTCATCACTTTTATTATTTCTTTTACAAAGAAGCAAGTCTGCTAACTTACCTAAAAATAACCATGTCTTCCCAGCAAGACTGCAATTACCTTTGTCCTTTATTGTGATTAGAACTATCAGCATCTGAAGGTGATTGGAACTGTCTCTTTTTTCTTTTTTTTTTCACCCCTCCCTTTCCTCATGGTAGGAAACTCTTGCTCTTTCTCTCAGTTTCATTTAAGAGCATTGAGGATTTTATATGAAACACTAAGTTAGAAGTTGGTTAAATTTAGCAGGAAAACCTCCAGTCCAGCCCATCTCTGCAGTGGGGTAATGTACAACATGCATTACAGTCCCTTCTTGTGGTTGACGCATCTACAATGGTGGCAGGATGTCATGACGTGTAAAGAGACTGGTTTTGCATTGGTGAGAGAAAAAGGGATTGGACAGAATTGCTAAAGAGAGGATCAAAGAGCTCTGGAACATTCAAATTAAAAGTAATAAAGAAAATGGAGCTGTAAGGAATTACCACTAGGACAGATATGGTAGTCAACAGTACTAATGGATGAACAATTACATTTAAAAAAGTGTTGACAGAGTAAACATAAAATTAGCAAATAAAAGTCAGGGACTTTTAGGATGAAGTTTTGGTTTGATGTATGTGATTTGGTGTGCTTGATTCACCTAGGAAATCTCTGCCTGTTCTCTTGGTTACTTTGTAAAGGATCCAAGTTAAGAACTGGGAAATAAACTAGAGGATGCAGCTAAACTGCTACAAGTAAGAGGACTGTATGTCCTATAATAACAGCATCTTTCATTTCTGTTGTCAATCCAAAGAAGAATAGAGGAGACTTTTAAATCACTGTTTGTGTTAGGGTAAAGAAAAAGCAATAAAAAAAAATAAGAAGGTACATATAGATGCTACTGTAATCTAATCCTGTAAGTCCTAACATGAATATTTTAAGTGAAAATTTGAAAAATATGAATTCAAGTACTTTTTGGTTTGTTTTACAGTTAATCAGGGTTTAAGGAATGCAGCACTGGAAGACTGTGCTTTATGTCAAGAAAGCATATCATCCTCAGAACTTGCAGCAAAAGCCAGAGATGGGGACTTTGAAGGTACTTTATTTTTTCTGAGAATTAAAATGACACAACACTGATGTATAAGAAAGTTATTGAAATGAAAACTCTTTTAAAGTTTGGCTCTGAATTGTGACTATAAAATGTTATCATAGTATGATTTAGAGACAAGTCAAATGATAAACGGAGCATATTTCTTTCAGATTTTATATCTAACAGCCTCATGAGAATCTGACTTACAAATTATCATATCCAGTATGAATTCCTTTGTGTTGGTAGAGAAAGGTTTTCTCTAGTAAAGGCTTTAATTTAGCATATGACATTACATGTGACAAGTTTCAGAGGACTGTGTAAGATTCAAAGCCATAAGTAAGGTCTTCTCAGCCAGAGAGATCTCTTGTATCGTTTGCTTATACGTGGAGGTGCCACTTTTTTTTTTTTCCTGGTAGAAAAAAAGTGGCACCTTTCATATTTTCTTCACTTTTGTCTTTGAGGAACATGATCAAAATAATTTGATTATTACTTGCATATTCCTCACCATATTACTTCAAATAAGTTAGTTTTAGGTAAATCTGCTGAGGTGGCTCAAATCTCCCTGAATACATGGTAAGAGTGAAGAAAAGTGCATGTGTAAGTCTCAGTTTGGTTTGGGATTCAAGCATTCTGAGAGGTCAAGTTTTTGTTTCTCTTTTTTTAATCTGAGCTGCTGCAGGAGTGCTTAGGAGTCAGTTATGGACTATAGCCCTAGTATGGTAAACATTGTATAAAAAATAGATTAAAAGATATCAGAGCACTTGCAGTGAAAGAATAAGAAAAGAGAAAGTAGATGTATGAGATGGAGCAAACAAGAAAGCAATCAGCTTTGATCTTCTGGGCTAAGTGGTGGCTTCAGCACACCAGGAGCCCAATTACCAGAGAGGTAGTGTCTCTGTGGTCAAGTAAGAAATATGCAACAACCATCAACTGTGAAACTGTTGTATCTAAGCCTCCCAGAAATTCAAATGTGCAGTAATTTCCCTGTGCTTTAAAACTTTGATCTCTTGTTGTCTATTTGTCCACATACGCTACTCTTCTTCCAGTGAGAGGTTTTGAATGCAGGATGACTGAGAACTCAGTGATAAGCAGTGTATGTCTCTGCTTGTATGTAGAGAGGGGTGACCAACAGAAAAGTAAAGTTGGTTCATGTCATTTGTAATAAAGACCAGAAATCACAGGGCGGGGGTGGTGGAAGAGCTCTTAAAGATTAGGTTTTAGAGTAATGCTGCATATTTAGAAGTTAGTTTGTACTTATATAAAAGCCATGACTTGCTTTCTTACCCTTCTTCTGAAGCTGCAGGCTAAAGGATCTCAAATCTAATCTGTTTATTTAGAACAGCAAAGCTAATTCGTGTATAATGCACTGTAGAAATATTATCTTTTCTGGAGAAAGATGATTTGGTGGGCAGATAAAGAACTATTCAGTAGTCATTTTAATTGATTTTTCCATTGTACTGTAATTCAGAGGGTCACAGAAGGTGCAGTAAAGAACAAATCTTTAAGCAAAATCCTTACTGTGTATAGGCTGTGTTGGAAAAGAATGCAAGAGATTATTGATTCTCTACCATTTCAGTTCATATTCTTTTGGTTTGAATCGATGCCTGATGCTGTCAGTGAATTTGACTTACAGAACTTGAAAGCAAGTTATTCTGAACTGCAGGATGCTGAATAATGTTCTTACAGTGGATGTACACTTTGTCACGGCAAAGTCACTTCACTTCCCTGGCACGTTATTCAGCTTTTAAGGTTCTTTGGCTTTTCATGGCATCTTCTCTTGGCAAGGGGAAGGTTTTAGGTTTGGAGAAGTGCAGGCTATGGCTTGGGATGTTACTTATTGAAATAGCAGGCAACAGTCTGGGTGCTTAGGTGATGTTATGGCTGCATGGGAGTGTGGTAAGGGGAGCCTTACGGGATAACCAAGTCCCTTTTCAATAAGTAGACTTGGATGCAAGAACTTGGCTGCTTTGGCACAATGTTTTACTTGGCCTGTGTGTAAGTGGTTATGCTGTACATACCTGCTTGTACGAATCAGTACAGCTCCTCTGACTATGCAGACTAACTAGCACAGTCTGCTGTTACTTGGCTTTCAGACTTGGTGATGGGCAGGAATTTTCTGTATCACAGAGAGAGAGAGGGTGCTGGGGAGCATGGAGATGAGCTGCACCTTCCAAACCAGAGCAAACCACAAAAGATCTATGAAAAGTGGCATCTGAAGTGGATCAATTTGTTGAATTTGAGAACTATAGAAACACCCATCCTGTCCCCTCTCCTCCAGTACATCCCAGGCCCCTGTCCCTTCAGGTCACAAGTCATTGCTGGCAATGCTGTACATATCATATTTTCCTGAGGTGTGCAGTTACACCTAATGGAATTTATGTTTTTGTTGTCCATAAGGCATCCAGTGTGAGTTATCAACCTATAGCAGTATTTTAACCTCAGCAGCCATGTGCATTTTCCGCCTTATAACACCCTCCTCGCTTACCTTATATTTGCTGGCTGCTGTGGAAGCAACAGCCCCTGACTTTGGGTGATGTTTGGGTGCAGGCAGAAGTTGTCTGGTGGTTAGGACGACCTTTGACATGCACGAACATTGTGCCCTATTTCTTGCAGCAAGCCTGATGGGTTTATCCTTCAGGCCAAATCTGGGCCACAGGCCACCAAGAGGAATGCACCACTGTTATCACTGTAAATGGATTCAGCACAAAGTCTGAGAGCGCTGCAGCAATCTGTTGACAGCATTGCACCAAAATTAATTATATCCTTTTATGTTCATCATTTCTGCACTTCAGGGCACTCGCAATGATTTCAGTGGAAAGTGAAAACAGTAGCTCCTCCCTTCTGCCATCAGGGCAGAACCATGAGCATGTATCAAATTGAGAAAGTCCAGCAAGCTACCTGCCAGGGAAGCTTTTTCCAATTATCAAATAAATCCCTCTTACTGAAAGTACTGAATGTTTTAAGATTGCATCTAATCAATAGTAATAAAAAACCCGTAAGCAAGCCCAGCAACCTGAACAAATAAATGAATAGTTTTAAGATTCTACTGGAGGTTCCAGCCTCTACTCAGATTATGAAGATGAATCACTTTTTTTTGTCATATTTGTCATTCTTACTGTATATAAAACCTACCAGCTGGTCTGGGTCATAAAACAAATATGAATGTTTATTATGAGCCAGCTGACAATGGCAAGGGTGTAGGAGTTAAATCCTGTGACCTTCTGAAGGTTGAAATACAATAAACTACAGATTAATTGGCATTCCAAAACAAAAGCATTTTTGAAAGTACAAGGTGAGCCTATGGTGTATATGTTCATCTTTGTCCTAATGCTCTAGGACTTTTTTTCAAGGAAGCATATGTATTTATACTTTTCATAGAGTATAAAAAGCACTACATTTTTCTAGGGAGAGAATGTAAACCAAATACATTTATATGTATTTGTTTTCCTAGAATACAAGATGAATTTATACAATATTCCATAAATTACTTTTAAATAGAGTAAAATTTCATGCCCTGGTTGTATGATTGAGAAGATAGCCAGTAGGGACAAATTTCTGTGTATAAACTAAAAGTAAATTGTAGTGGCAGCTGTTCAGAGGAGGGAAAAAACCAAAAACAAAACAACAAAAAAAACCCAATCAGGTTGGGCTCTTTGCTGCCAATGGTGCTTGCTCTGAATTGCAGCAATAGCAGAAGGGGTCTGTGTCCCGGGGTACTTTTGTGGTACTGCCTTTCTCCCTGTGTCCTGGTGAGCTACCAGCCAGCACTGGGAGAAGGTTACTGGGAACTTCCTGAGCTCCAGCTTGGGACAAACCACTGCTGGGTAATAGGCTGACCAAGAAGTTTGCATGGAACTGAGAGTGTGCAGTATGGGTCACAGGAATTAAAGCAAACCTCCACATTTGAAAGTGTCAGAAAATTACTCTTGGTTAACCTAGTATAAATATATCCCTGCCAGGACAGACCTGAGTCATTCTGAATATGTATTATAGCTTAAAAAACCCAAACATTAAGGAAGTAGAAGTTTGATGTCTTTCTGTCATTTATATCTCTAGGATATTGTTTCAAGCCTCAACACCACAAAACTTGCTTTGTATTAGCCAACAGTTTTCCATACACACACACAAAAAAACCCCTTCTTTTTTGTCTCGATAAGGATTTTTATGTAGTCATTTCTTTATCAATCTGTAAATGTCATCAAGCTTAAGACCCTGCTCACCATATTTGGGAACATTATGTTAATCCTTGTGAGCCTGATGATTTTAATAGTGAACTTTGGCAAATCTGAGTTTTGACTGTACATGTATTTTGGGGTAATTTATTACTCAGGAAGATTCATCTGTTGGGATTGAGGGAAGATTAATATTTTTAATTGTCGATGTCATGAAGTTACAGGCTGGCTAAGAAAGGGAGTTACACTTCTTGTCTAGGAATAAGCAGGAGACCTCTAGAAATCAGGTGATTTTTCGCAAGGAAAAGCAGAAAGCATTATGAAGCTGTTGATGTTCCATGAAAATATTTGCTGTAGCATCTCAGGTCTCTCTGCAATCATACATTCATTTTCACTCCTTATTACTGTAGCATCCATACAGAACTGCCTTGCTCACTGCCACCTAGTTATAACTCCAGCCATAATGGATTTGCTGTGGCTGCCAGTACAAATAACTGTTTGTGCCAAACAGTGTTAGCATCTGTTTGCTGCACAACAGCACGCTATTTCTCCTTGATCCCTTTCCATCTCGTAATATTCCAGCCCACACACTTTTGTCTATTCACAAGTCCTCACTGCTCTCCAACCAGCAGCACGAGCACAATTCAGTAATGTATGGTCCCAAGGCTCGAGCTCTTGTTCTTGTTGCAATAGGAAATCACAAGGTCAAAAAAGCCCACCCCATGCTACTGTGTGTGCAGAATCTAATCACCGTAAGTCTAGAATTAGCTGTCAGCTCTAGCTGAATGTTTCAATTTTTCTTTTGTCCTCTACGCACCTATGGCTACTCTATTA